TTAAAGAAATTTTTTCATGAGATATAAAAGAAAAAGATAATATTGATGTTAAAATAAATAACTTGAAACAATTGTTTATAATTATGCAATTTATATTTATTGTGAATTATTATTAGTTGATATTAGCATTAATTATTATATAATATAATAGAAAAATACATGATTACACTCAATAGGATATATTAATGTGAGAAGTAAAAAACATTAATTATAAATTTTGTAACCGAAATTGGAGGAAAAATTTTAGAGGTTTTTTTAAATGCTATTAGCTAGTAATTATATATATATATAGATTATATGACTAATTACAAGTTTGGCCTTTTTTAGTAACTTCCCTCAAGTTGATTAGATTGAACCGTGCCTAATTTGTTTATTTATTTCTATTTTCCTATTTTCAATCGTATCATTAATTTTCTGTAGCAGTAAAATGAATCCCAATAAACCAGATCCATAAATTTCATGTATATGATAAGGCGAAAAAATGAACATTGTATAAATACATATATTCTAATTTAAATGAGGGCACGTGATTATTAATAGAGAAAAGTGCATTTTTCGTCCTGTAAGTTTACCCCTCTGAACAATTTAGTCCTCTTCGAATAGTCAATTTGAGTTTCGTCCTCTAACTTTAAAAAAAAGTTGCAGATTCGTCCCCGACTCGCCGGAAACCCGTTAATTGGCCGGAAACACGCACGTGATGGAAATTAACGGCGCTTTACGCCTACGTGGAGCCGGATTTCCCACACTGGCGACCTTATTAACACGTGGAGGACGGAAAATAAACGAAAAAAAAAAAAATTCCACGCACCGAAACACGTAGATTAGGAGGGAAAAACAATGAAAAGGCACGAAAACTGAACAGACATCCCACTTCTTCCCACAATCTCATCGTGTTCCCAAATCCAAATTCTCTCTGGAAAAAAAAAAACCCTCAATCGTTCCCAAGTCCTAAAGCCAAAAAACCGAAATCTCAAAATCAAGTATTGAGAAGCAAGAATTCAAATGATTCCTGAGAAGGTGTTCATCCAGAAGAAGATTCGTATGCACAATGGACCTCCCACATATGTTCAGTGATATTTTTTTTGTTTGTTTATGGAAAATTCGTGCAACGGAATGTTCATTTTTTTATGAAGATCCCTAAATTCGAGGTGAAAATGGTTCATTTTTTAAAGTTCGTACAATTAAAATGAAATTAGGATCTAAATTCGGTACATTGTAATGAAATTAGGTGAAGGAAAATTTTGAAGGTGAAGAAAAATTAGGGTTCTTGAACGAAATCGACAATTTTGAAGAACAAAATCAACAATTTTCAAAATTAGGGTTCTTGAAGATTTGGGGATCTTGTGATTTGGAAAAATAGGGTTGAAGGAGGATGAAAATGATTCAAAATCAGAAAACCCGTTTCATTTTATGCCCGGTTCTTTCCCAAGTGTTTCGGCACGTGGAAATTTTTTTTTTCGTTTATTTTCTGTCCTCCACGTGTAAATAAGGTAGCCAGCGTGGGAAATCCAGCTCCACGTAGGCTTAAAGAGCCGTTAGTTTCCATCACGTGCGTGTTTCCGGCCAATTAACGGGTTTCCGGCGAGTCGGGTACGAATCTGCAACTTTTTTTAAAGTTAGAGGACGAAACTCAAATTGGCTATTCGAAGAGGACAAAATTGTTCAGAGGGGTAAACTTACAGGACGAAAAATACACTTTTCTCTTATTAATATTTTTTATAATTTAACTGTGGTATTTTTATTAAAGATGCTTAAAATTCAAGATATACACTAGTTTAATAAAAAGAGAAAACACATATATAATAAATTATATAAATATGTTGAGATTGAAGCATAATCTTTAATAGTCTTAATCAAAAGCTATAGTTTAAAAAAAAAAAAAAAAATTAATTCTCGGCCATGTTAGCTGTCGCATCTCGTCGTCATCAGCGCCAGAAACCGTATCCCTAAGGCCCTGGACCAATGCCGTCTGATTCGCCATCTCTGGCGATAAAAAACCCCAATCCCGAATTCCCATCACCCCTACCTGCCGTATCACCATTTTACTTGCCGACGTTGAACGTCCCGACCGTTCTCGATCCTGTCACGAGCTTGCCGATGATGAAGTTCCTCAATTTTGTATGATTTTGACAGGTTCTCTCTGGCTCTGACGACTGTTATGGAGGTCGATTCCGGGGATGGAGGGCATTGTACATGGAGGCTTATAGCGTCGACAATATATGCAATCAGTCGCTGGTGGAAGGGTGGAGGAGGGGACGACGAGTCAGCGACCAAAGGGGTTGAGGTGGTTTGCTGGCATCTTTGAAAAATCCAAAATGACCGATGAGGTATAAGACCACATCGACAATTTGGAGGTGGACGACGGCGGCGGGTGAAGGCCGTGGCAGCAACGGATGAAGGCGGTGGCTGCTCGGCGGATATAGTTGTTGTGAGGCGACGTATGTGTATCTCTATGTGTGTGTGTGTGTTACTGTATAGGACAGTGTGTGTAGTGTGTGTGTGTGTGTGACTGTGTAAGAAAGAGGGGGAGAGAGAATGAGTGGTGTTTGTGTGTGTGTGTGTGACAAGTGGATCAGAGTGATTGGACGTGTGTGTGGGGTGGGAGGATATGATGGGTTCTTTATGGTGGGACCCACTGATGTGATAAAATGTCCATAATACATTTAATGAAGGTATAATTTTGACTTTTTTTTTTCAGTCGTTGGATTGTTTAATCCGATGGCTAAAATTTATTCATAATTTTTCCATTGAGAACTATTATCAACGGAGCGCGCCCTTATTATATACATGGTTGGGTTTACATGAGAATGGTGTTTGGTGAAAGAAATGAGAATAAATCGTAGTCATTAGATCGAATGATCTAATGGCTAAAAAAAAGCCAAAATTCTACACACCAAAACAGTGGGCCCATTTGCCACCTCACCCCTCTCTCTCTCTCTCTCTCTCTCTCTCTCTCATTCTCTCACTCTCTCTCTCTCATACACACACAAGCAACATCACCCACAACACACACAAAACATACGCGCGCACACACACGTCAGACGACAAAACACACACACAAAAACATACACACACAGATACTCATTGAACACATATGATGTAGGGAAGCGTACAAGGGGGACGATATTAATGAGTTCGCAATCTCAAGAACATCTAAACACGATATCAAATCATATTTTCATTCAATAATTCAACACAACTGAATAAAACAATAGATGAGGAGCCCTTTAAATAAGACTCCTAAACCTTATTTCTAACTTGTCAAATAAGACAAGATCTCTTACTAATTATTAAATAATATTAAAATTTTAACTTATTCACCAAGATACCTATTAGTAAATAATAATAATAATAATAATCTACACCATTCTCCCCCGGTTTGGAAGGCTTCGTCCTCGAATTCGATGTGCTCTCGTGACCAGCGTGTGGTGTCAAACCCATGGTAGGAAACCTCTGTCGTTTTTCCCGGTCGAACACGAAGGTTGAACGGCACTATGATCTACCTTGGCGAGCCACAAAATCCTCGACTACGCGAATGACACTTTTCCTCTCCTCCACTTGAGTTACCCGGCCAACCCAAACAAATACTTCGGGACCATGATCCAATAAATAACATTTTTTTTTTCCGAGAATCTATCTGGAAAGTGCACCATCGTCAACAATGGCAACCTCAAACTTCCCTTCATGAAACTGCTTCAACATATATAACCGCGTGTCTTTTTTAACGGTTTTGATAGCAGCAGTTCCAGCTTCATCCTTCAGCCCTGAAGGCTCCTTATCAAAGATCGGTGGATCGTCGTAGAGACCATCCACTTCGCCGGTAAGATGCTCTTTCACCTCTTCGGGTCCTTCATCAAATATAGGCCGACCATCGTACGATGGAACATCAACTTGCTCTCCATCGAATTCGAAGATGTCAATGCAAAACGGGCCCTCTCATCGACCATATTCGCGATCAAGCCCACCAGAAAACTCTGGGATGTCAAACCCCTCGAAGCCGGCGCCATCGTGTTCAAGTTCCCAATCGCATCGGGCACGATATCTGTTGACGAAGGCAGTCTCCTCGCGCTTGCCTCTATAGTCGCGTTGATCGTCGCCGCCCACGATCGAGCCCCGTTGTCGCATGTCACGGCCGCCGTATGTAGCGAAGGGGTCAGCCTCGACGTGCGAGGGTGGAAAATCGTCGAAGGGATTCACCTCCAAGTTGTCTCCTCGCCGTCTTCATCGCCAGATGGTGGTTGTGGAGATCCCTGGCGGGGTGCTCCGCCTGTACCACGGCCTCCACGTCCTCCGCGAATTTCCCCGCACACGCCCCGGTTGCCGGCGTCACGATATGTTTACTTGTCGCGAACCATGGTACAGATAGTTAGACGTATGTCCCCGATCTTCGCGGACAGATCTGCAATTTGACGACCCATCGTCTGGAGCCCACGGCCAAACCACTCAGTCCTACGGCTCAGGTTATAGATGGCGGTGACACGTCTATCGTTTGCAGCATCTTGTCTTCGCGACAGCATCGTGAATCGTGATAACTTCTTATACCAACTGATGTAGGGAAGCGTACGAGTGAGACGATATTAATGAGATCGCAACCTCAAGAACATCTAAACATGATATCAAATCATATTTTTCTTCAATAATTCAACCCAACTGAATAAAACAATAGATGGGGAGCCCTTAAAATAAGACTCATAAACCTTATTTCTAACTTGTTCAACAAGACAAGATCTCTTACTAAATATTAAATAATATTAAATTCTTAACTTATTCCCCAATATACCTAAATAATAATAATAATAATAATAATAATAATCTACACCAACATACACATATACATTGAATACACAGCACCAAACCAACCGCCAGCCTCAGCCATGGCCACCGTCTCGCGCCTCCGCCTCTGTCGTCGCTGACCACCCATTGTCCGTCGATTTCCACCTCTATTTCTGACAGACCATTCCTCTCCCGCCGAACTGTCCATCTCGCGATGAACGCCACAGCTATCGACTCCGCCTCCCGCGTCCGCCGGCCCAAACCACCCGCTGACAGTTAACCTCCGCCACAGTCACCGTCTCCACCTCAATTTCCGCCATCGACAACCGTTTATCTCCCGCCGGACTGCTATCTCCCTTGTGGAGACAAGGGAGTATACCAGTTTGCTCCAAACCGAAGGATTACATATTTTAGGACGGGATGCATTACACACAAAAGGGTCAAATGAGAGTCTAAACGTCATTGATTTTTCCAGCTCTTCAGACGCTCAATTGCACGCCACCCGACACAACAGATTCTTACTTGGGGAGCTGGGCTACTACGTATATGCGGGCTTCGCACTATCTGACTGGCCTGTGATAATCACCTTCAAGAATTGTGGCTCAGTTGATGGTTCACCTTTAATTTCATGTATGTTGTTCAATAAAGTTGAAACTCCTAAGCCAAAATAATAAACGGTGGTATGTGACTAGTTATTCTTCTGCGTACTTTGTTGTAATGTGTGGCAAGAGGTGCAAGGTTTAGTGTTTCCAACACTTTTCATCAACAAAGAGCGCATTCATTTCACTTTGATGTTTTGGACTTTTATCCTCTCTTTACAACAATTTGCTGGCACGCGTTATTCATAACATCTTTATATCTATATCATCTATCTTTATTTCAACTTTTTACTAGACCCTACAAGTACCAAAGTATAAAAGGCTGCAATTGAGTCGAGTCTCCATCATAGATGGGAGACAGGCTCCTTCATATCTCAATGTGCTCAAAAGTCAAACCTTACAATAAATTATGTTCTGCCTTATCGGAATCTAGATATGTATGGAGCAGGGATACAGAATTATAAAATTAATGTTCTGTTACTGTAACAGAAATAAGAACGCTAGACCAGAACTAGGAAATAAAAGGAAAACTGCAATAGTACTCGTATCAGAATCACATAATCCCATCATTGTAGCTATGCAAATAATTTAAAATCATTTAATGCCAGAGTTGAGCTTTTTTTACCATATCATAATTTATTGTAAGGTTTGAGCACATTGAGTACAATAGAATATAGCTCGACAAAAATATACAATGATCAATATTGATTTCAAGTAATTCATTTGGTTCAATACTAGATTAAAGCACAGTCTTATGTAGCACAATTAACAGCTATTGAAGAACTACTGATCTGCTAATGACATATAAGTAAGTAGAGTATCACTGGGAACATCGGCTGCAAGTAATTGAACTGGATCACTCATGAAACTAATATATGAACTGTGTTGTGTCTCGGCTCATTCCAATTTCAAGTTTTAAAGTTTAAACTAGAAAAAATAAATAAAAAATAAAATAAAATAAATTGGGAAGTCTCTTCTGGGAAAACACACAATGCTACTTAAACATTTTCGAAAACAAACAAGTCACAATAAAAAAAAAAAGGACTGAGACCACAAATGCCATATAAAAATGATATGATGACAGATTTATTCTCTCCAGGTCAGTCGAAAGCGCATGCAGTGCTCCACGGACTTAGAATCCTTTGGCCACAATGCTTTCCAAAATTTTGACCAACTTCTCTCTAGGACAGGATGCCATTTTTCCTCGTTTTTATCAAAAGTTTCAAACATTACTTTCTCAAGATCTCGTCGCCATTGACAGCCCTTTGTTATTCGGCCACTTTGAAATATTCCCTTCTCCATCCCCAGGATCTTGCACATCACCTCTGTTGTTTTGTTGCGCTGTTTGTGAAACTCCAATTTGGATTCAGGGCCAACAACAAGAGACCGTTGTATAATTCTCGGACGACAAATGCAAAATAGATTGTTCATAAAAGACGTCACGGTATGCGAAGATAGAGTGATCTGCCCAATATGTAGAGCGACTTCGGATCCGCTGACTGCCCTGAGCAGCTGACCTAATTTGCCCAACCCTGGTGAAGTCTCTTCAAACAAATAATCAGCCCGCAGGGTTATATCTGATTTCCACTTTTTGGAAGTTGTGGTGAAAGAAAATGACTCGGGAAGAAGGCCTTCATACTCAAACATGACTATGCTTGGCACATCAATGTTCAATGGCACATTAGTATAACTACTAGACAACTCAAATTTCTTGATTGAGCGACTAGACAGCTCAAATTCCTCAAAGCCATAGCAATATTTCAAGGATAGACTTTCAAGGCAAGGGAAGTTATGCGAAAAGAAGCCGAATGACTCTTTATAGAGTCTCACATAAGATAGACTTAAAGACTTGAGATGAGGAAAATAGATTTCCTTATCGTGATACCAATTCGGACACCTATCTATATTGATTTTCTCAAGAGATGGGACATCGATTTCAAGACTCGGCGACTCATTGTCTTCCGATTCACCAAAGAAGTAAAATCGCTTGAGATGGCGAGCCCGTTTATCGATTCTGATGGCTCTCAACCCTACGCATTCATGGAGCTTCAATTCAATCAACGGGCAGCTATATATTATCTTTTCGAGAATGTCCTCCGTAATAAAAACGTCCATAAGCCAGAGGTTTTTGAGATGAATTGATGACGACATATCACTGTGAAGAATATCATCGCGGCTCAAGTTGCAGTAGTGAAGACCCAAACGTTGGAGGGACTTAGATTCGAAAATGATAGACGGCGGATCAAAGCGCGCGTTTTCTTCACGCCAATCGAGAAACAGACTGAAGCTTCGTACAGCCAAGTCCCGAACGAGCACCGGAATCCACTTTTCTAGAAACGAAACTGAGTCGGCATCGAGCGTTGACATGAAAAGAAGGAATTTTTGCGGACAAATCTTGTGATCATGGTATAGTTGCAAGCTTCTTTCGAGTACATTGATAAACTCTTGTTTGCTTCCTTCAAAGTCGGTCTCTACCATGGCGAAATTGAGGCGTGTGGAGCCAAGATAGCGCCATGATTTGGAGAGTAGGCAAGTTCTAACGGCTTCTTCTTGGGGAAGGTAACGGAGTATATTGTGCAATATCGGCTGTGGCAATTCGGATATTCTGTCGTTCATCAACTTTGGAGCCTTCATAATTTCTGACTTGTTTTGTTTCTTCCACTTTCTCATCACCCCAATTTTGAACATATTACAATCTTATGAACTGAAAACCTACCTCCAGGTGTTTGATGACTGCTTAAAAAACCAAGAAACTAAATACAGAACATTAATTAAAAAAAAAAAATAAAATTGCATCGGCTACACGCAACTCACTATGACCTGATTTCAGCGCACAAAAACGAACACCCAATCTACCGGAACCAGTTTATCAGACGAACCAAATCAAATCAATCACCCCACAGATTAAAATAAAATGTTGTTCAAAATAACCCATCATCAATAGGAAACCTTTAGCTTCTTTTTTATATGTATTCGGCGTGTATGGTATAGAATTTTTTTTCGGTACATGTATGGTATAGAATTTTGTTTAATTTGTCTCCTATTTTGATTTCTCTTATGATTCTACATTAACTTTCCTTAAGTTTGATTAAATTGAACCGTCCCCATATGATTATTAAATTTTTCTATTTTCCTATGTTCAATAGTATCATTTATTTTCTGCAAAAATACTTCAATTTCAACTTTTAGAGACTTTTTAAGACTTTCAGAATCTTGGTGTATTCAATTAGAACTTTTAGAGACTTCTGAAAAGTTTACATGTATTCAATTGAGACTTTTAAAGACTTTTAAAAAGTCATTAAAAGTCTCAGGGTATTCAATTAAAACTTTTTGAGAGTCTCTATAAGTCACCATATATTCAAAATATGAAGACTTTGTGAGACTTTTTAAATTGTGAGACTTTTAGAGACTTTTCTTTCAAAATTACAAAGAGAGAGTCTCAACAGAAATCTTATCAATATTGGTGAGATTTTGCTGGACTTATGTGATTCTCTTCACGCTCCCTTTCTTTTTTTCTTTCTAAGACGACTTTATATCTAATATCACTTTCATGCTTTATTATTTTCATCATTTATTTTGATACCTTGTATAACTTTTATTTTCATTACTTATATTTAATGTGATCTTTATTTTATATATTTTTCATTATGGTTATTTTATGTATTTATACCTTTATTCTTTCGTTTTGTTATCTTGTGAATCTGATTTTCTAAAGGTTAAATGCTTCCATAGTTTGCACTTGCAAATAATTTATTTATTCTCTCTTTTTATTTGTTAATGTTTATTTTTTAATATTAATAAAATTATTTTATTTTCTAATAGTTTATTTGTTGATATTGAATTATTTTGAAAATTATTTATTACTTTATAAAATACAATTACTATTTTTCGACAATGTTTGTATCTTTCGGCTCGTTGAAGCTCGGATTGATTTGCTCGTTTAATAAATCTAAAAATCCTAAACAATTTGTTAGTGAGTAACTCATTTCGTATAAAAATGAGTTGATTCATAAATTTTTAGAGGATTAATATATAAAATATTTTTTATTTTTTCTTGATATTAGTTATTATGTACGTTTATTAATGTTTCATTTCCAAACATAATATTATAACTACAAGTATACAAAAATCTCAATAAGTTTTAAAAAGTTCATTATGAAAGTCTTAAAAAGTCACTAATGAGAATTCTCTGAAAGTCTCAACAAGTCCACCAAAGTCATGAAAGTTTTAAAAAGTCTACAAAAGTCACCAAATTTAAAAAATTTTAAAAAGTCCTTAAAAATCTCAATTGAATACAACCCCTAAAAAAAAGAGTACATTCCACCAATAGAGTTCTTTTAGAAATTCAAATACTGCCAGAAGTATTAATGTAAAATTTAATCATAAAAGTTCATGTTTTATCTCATTTTACCTTTTTCATTCATGATCATGATGTTTTCAAAGACTACTAGTACAGTACCCGTGCGATGCACGGGATGGTATATTTTCCTGAAATGTTTAACGTGTGAAATATTAAAAATAATATAATTTATATATATGTAATAAAAATAAATGGATTGCAAAGAAGGAAAAAAAATATAAATTATTGAACACTTTCTTTGTGAAGTAAAATTTGTGAAGGTTTGGTATATTTGATTATGAATAGAAAAGTATGAAATACTACCTGCGGACCGTTGAGATAGATGAGAAGATTTACTTAGAATATATAGAATAAATATTGAGATAATGATTTACCTTTTACCTAGTATAGATAAAATAAATATTGACATGATGTGGGAAAATTATGACGAATTATGACATAAATTCGTTTAGAAAATATTCAAAAATTAGATTTATTTTTTATTTTTTAAATCTTTACAGTAATTCGTACGTTCCTTTTCATACGCTTAATTTATCAATTTTACACATACAAATCAAAATTAATGCAACTCGAAATATTATATAACAAATAAAATGAGATTTTTATCTAACATTTAGTATATTGCCGGAAAATTTTTTATAAATCTTATTCTCTTTTTATGCACATAGATATTAAAGAATGAGTAAAAAAAAATATCTAAATATGTTTAAAAGTATCTAATATTATATGTGTTAACAGTGTTACAACCAAAAGACATTAAGAATACGCAGACTATTATATAACATATGTGAAAGTATTAAAATATTTAATATTATTATTGAAAAATGTGAAATTACCTCAATTTTGTCTAGACTATTTTATAAGAAAAATATATATACTTAAAGTTAGCACACACATATATATATATCCTTAAAATTTTCCCAACTAACATGTTTAAAAGTATATAAAATTTTATATATAAAATACGTTTAAAGTTTACATATTTTACAAAAATTAGACTGCTCTCAGTTTATATAAAGTTTGTTGCTCTCATATTCGGATAATGTATTATGCATTTAATGAAAGCACCTACGATACAAATTTATAAATATTAATTAAAATAATTTTCTAAATTATATAAAATTGAAATAACAAAGGTAAATATTACCTGTTCATCGTGAAAATGCATTACAGCTCTCCCGTTCTTGATGGGTTTCAATAATGCGGACTGCTCTCAGACACAAAAAAAGGTTTGTTATAAATATTAATTAAAATAATTTTCTAAATTATATAAAATTGAAATAACAAAGGTAAATATTACCTGTTCATCATGAAAATACGTTACAGCTCTCCCATTCGTGATGGGTTTGAATAATGCGGACTGCTCTCAGACGCAAAAAAAAGGTTTGTTATAAATATTATAAAATTGAAATAACAAAGGTAAATATTACCTGTTCATCATGAAAATGCGTTACAGGTGATGGGTTTCAATAATGCCGACTGCTCTCCCGTTTGTGATGGGTTTCAATAATGCGGACTGCTATCAGACGCAAAAAAGGTTTGTTATAAATATTAATTAAAATAATTTTCTAAATTATATAAAATTGAAATAACAAAGGTAAATATTACCTGTTCAAAAGGTTTGTTATAAATATTAATTAAAATAATTTTCTAAATTATATAAAATTGAAATAAAAAAGGTAAATATTACCTGTTCATCATGAAAATGCGTTATAGCTCTCCCGTGGGTTTCAATAATGCGGACTGCTCTCAGACGAAATAAAAAGTTTGTTTCTTTTGTTAACGTACCCCAGTCTGGAAGTATTATATATCAAGTGTACCCCAGCCTGCTCGTGATGAGTTTCAATAATGCGGACTGCTCTCACACGCAAAAAAGGTTTGTTATAAATATTAATTAAAATAATTTTCTAAATTATATAAAATTAAAATAACAAAGGTAAATATTACCTGTTCATCATGAAAATGCGTTACAACTCTCCTGTTCGTGATGGTTTCAATAATGCTTTGTTATAAATATTAATTAAAATAATTTTCTAAATTATATAAAATTGAAATAACAAAGGTAAATATTACATGTTCATCATGAAAATGTATTACAACTCTCCTGTTCGTGATGGTTTCAATAATGCGGACTGCTCTCTCCCGTTGGTTTCAATAATGCGGACTGCTCTCAGACGCAAAAAAGTTTTGTTAAATATTAATTAAAATAATTTTCTAAATTATATAAAATTGAAATAAAAAAGGTAAATATTACCTGTTCATCATGAAAATGCGTTATAGCTCTCCCGTTCGTGATGGGTTTCAATAATGCGGACTGCTCTCAGACGCAAAAAAAGGTTTGTTTCTTTTGTTAACGTACCCAGTCTGGAAGCATTATATATCAAGTTTACCCCAGTCTGGAAGCATTATATTGTATATGCGATGAAAAATTATTCTCTGTATTTTTTTTTTCTCTGAACTCGTGAATGATGAGTTGTAATGGTGGTAGTGAATATCCTTTTATACAATTTTTTATTAACAAAAATCTCAATAAGTTTTAAAAAGTTCATTATAAAAGTCTTAAAAAGTCACTAATGAGAATTCTCTGAAAGTTTCAACAAGTCCACCAAAGTCATGAAAGTTTTAAAAAGTCTACAAAAGTCATCAAATTTAAAAAATTTTAAAAAGTCCTTAAAAATCTCAATTGAATACAACCCCTAAAAAAAGAGTACATTCCACCAATAGAGTTCTTTTAGAAATTCAAATACTGCTAGAAGTATTCATGTAAAATTTAATCATAAAAGTTCATGTTTTATCTCATTTTACCTTTTTCATTCATGATCATGATGTTTTCAAAGACTATCATATTATATTTATTATGCCGTTCAATTTTAAACTTCACTGTTAGATTAGATTGGGTGATTTTTGCCGTTCATCAATCAATTCCAAGACCTGGTAGCTGAGTAGGACTTGTCTCTTCAAATTCATCATCTACTGTCTTAACTCTTAAGTGACATCTTTTAGCATTTAGCCTGGTTGATCTTCTCTTTAAATCTAGCTGAGTAGGTTGTCGTGCTTGTTTTATTACTCACCGCAACTTGTTATTTTACTGATATGTCCTTGTGTAAGATAGTCACCGGCAGAGGACTATGATTTTCTTTGATGAACAGTAATAAATTTAACAAGCTTCATGTCCTCAAGTCTTATGTAGCACAATTAACAACGATCATCTTTTGTTTGGCCACTCTGCATTTTAACGACCTCTGTTTCATGATTTCAATGAACATTCAACTGAAGAAATAAAAGCCAACAAATTAAACAATCGTATAATTAAAATGATAAGAACTCTACATATGATACCTATAATTAAATATTTCGCAGAGGGTGGTGGATTTATTCTCTCCAAGTCAGTCGAAAGCGTACTCGGCGGCGCTTCACGGGCTTAGAATCCTTTGGCAAAATTTCGACCAACAATGCTTCACAAAATTCCGACCAACTTCTCTCAAGGATAGGATGCCATTTTTCCCCATTTTCATCAAAAGTTTCAAATGTTACTTTCTCAAGATCTTGTCGCCAATGATGGCTCCTCGTTATTGGACCACTTACAAATTCTCCCTTCTCCATCCTGAGGAACATGCACATAAACTTTGTGGTTTCGTTGACATTCCATGAGTATTTAGGGTAGACAACAAGAGACCGTTGTATAATTCTCGGACGACAAATGCAAAATAGATTGTCCATAAAAGACGATACGGAATGCGGAGATATATTGAGGTGCCTAATATCTAGAGATATTTCGGATCTGCTTACTGCCTTGAGCAGTTGACGTACTTTGCCCAACCTTGGTGAAGTCTCATCGAACAAACGATCATACCCCAGGGTTATATCCGATTTCCATTTTTCGGAATTTGTCGTGAAAGAAAACGACTCGGGACCACAACCTTCATACTTAAACATGACGATGCTTGGCACATCAATAGCAGCTCTTTTCAACGGTTTCTCAACCATGATTTCCAATTCCTTCATGGAATGACTGGACAACTCGTATTCCTCAAAGCCATAGCAACGTTTAAAGGTTAGATTTTCAAGGCAAGGAAAGTTACGCGAAAAGAAGCAGAACGATTCTCTAGAAAGCCACACAGCAAATAGACTTAAAGACTTGAGAAGAGGAAAATCAGTGTTCATGTCGTGATACCAATTCGAACATCCATCAACATTGATTTCCTCAAGAGATGGGACGTCAATTTCAAGACTCGGCGCCTCATATTCTTCCAATGCACCAAACAAGTAAAATCGCTTGAGATAGCGAGCCCTTTTATCCATTCTGATGGCCCTCAACCCTTTGCAAGACTGAGCTCCAATTCAATCAATGGGCAGCTACATATTATCTTCTCAAGAATTTCCTCCGTAATACAAACGTTCGAAAGGCAGAGTTCTTTCAGATTCATGAACAATATATTCGTGTTGAACCGTCCGTATATTATTATTAATTTTTTTATATTTTCCTATGTTCAATAGTATCATTTATTTTTATGCAAAAATACTTAACTACACATGTATTAAGAATATATTCAACCAATAGATTTCTTTTAGAAATTCAAATACTGCCAGAAGTATTGTCTGTTAGCCACCAATTTTGAGTCAAAAATTGGAAGCCATCAAATGTTGAAAGCCACTAAATATTGAAGCCACGTTTTTTGTTAAAAAATGTAGTACACAAATGTGGAAAAAATGGTGTACTCTTCAACTATAAATAGAAGGCAAGTTTGATGAATCAAAACACACCACAACGAAAACAACAAATACAACAATACCAAGAGAAAAAAAAAGAAAAAGAGAGAAAAAGGGTGTGAGTGAGAAGTAAGAATTTAGCTTCTGTGTGTATTTGAGTTGTGAGTCGTGAGTGAGTTTGGGAGTGTTTTGTAAACACGAGTGTATTTCTTTTTCCCAATAAAATATCTGCAGTAGTCCGGAGACGTAGGCATTATTGGCCGAACTCCGTTATCAATTTGGTGTGTCCAAATTTTATTTTTATTTCACTTTTATAGATCCGACTTCATGGAAATTTCAGCGTATTTTTCCCAACAACTGGTATCAGAGCCAGATTGTTAATTCTGTAATTTTTGTGTGGGTTACTATTCCGTGAATAGTGAAAAACGGAAATAGTGCCAAATTTGTCGGCACTACAAATTTATTTACCGACGTGTTTTGAAACACGATCGTTCACAAAAATTATCAGAAACGATCCGGCAGTGAAGTCAGATCAGAGTCGAAGTGATGACTGCAGACGAAGGAAAAATGAAAATCGAAAAGTTCGACTGTGCGGACTTTGGCTTCTGGAAGATGCAGATCGAGGATTATCTGTACCAGAAGAATATGTATCAACCACTCACAGGAAAGAAGCCAGAGGACATGAAGGAGGAAGAATGGAGTCTCCTTGACAGACAAGCTCTTGGAGCTATTCGACTGACGTTATCCCGTAATGTTGCTTTTAACATTGCAAAAGAAAAGACGACAGCAGGCCTCATGAACGCTCTTTCCAACATGTACGAGAAACCATCAGCCTCAAATAAAGTTCATTTGATGAGGCGATTGTTCAACCTTCGGATGACCGAAAGTGCTTCGGTGGCACATCATCTCAATGAGCTCAACACCGTTACAACCCAGTTGAGTTCAGTTGAGATCGAGTTCCATGATGAAGTACGGGCTTTAATACTTTTGTCTTCCCTACCAGAAAGTTGGAATGCTACGGTCACAGTTGTGAGTAGCTCATCGGGATACAATAAGTTGAGATTTGATGATGTTCTAAATTTGGTTCTCAGTGAAGAGATCCGGCGGAGGGAGTCGGGTGAACCATCGACCTCTTTTGTATTGCATACAGAGTCAAGAGGAAGAAGTTCAACTAAAGAAAGCAGACAAAACAAATCAAAGGGAAGAAGATCCAAGTCTAGAAATCATCGTAGTTCCCAAACCTCGAAGTCGATCGAGTGCTGGAATTGTGGGAAGACCGGGCACTACAAAAACCAGTCCAAGAGTGCACCAAAGGGTCAGGAGGAAAAAGAAGAGGCAAATATTGCTTCAGCCTCTGGAGGAGATTTGCTGATATGTTCTTTAGAGAACAAGGATGAGTCTTGGGTGTTAGACTCTGGAGCATCCTTTCATGCTACCTCACAGAAGGAACTATTCGAGAATTATGTTCCTGGAAATCTTGGTAAAGTTTACCTTGGTAATGAGCAATCATGTGAGGTTGTAGGGAAAGGTGCAATAAAAATCAAGCTGAGCGGGTCTGTATGGGAATTGAAAAATGTAAGACATATTCCCGACCTAACGAAGAATTTAATCTCGGTGGGCCAGCTAGCCAGTGAAGGCTACACGACAATCTTCCACGGAGACGATTGGAAGATTTCAAAGGGTGCGATGATAATTGCTCGAGGCAAAAAGAGTGGTACTCTTTACAAAACAACATGAGCATGTCATCTGATTGCAGTTGCAGCAAATGAAAATTCCAATCTATGGCACCAAAGACTTGGGCATATGAGTGAAAAAGGGATGAAGATCATTCACTCAAAAGGAAAATTACCAGGCCTCCAGTCAATAGAAATTGACATCTGTGAAGGTTGTATACTTGGAAAGCAGAAGATAGTCAGCTTTCGGACAAGTAGAAGAACCCCAAAGAAGGAGAAGCTTGAGCTCATCCACTCTGATGTTTGGGGTCCAACGACTGTCCCATCCGTTGGTGGGAAGCAATATTTCGTGACTTTTATCGATGATCACTCCAGAAAGGTATGGGTTTACATTCTGAAACACAAGTCAGAAGTATTTGAAGCTTTCAAGATTTGAAAAGCTATGGTGGAAAATGAGACAGGCTTGAAGATCAAGAAGCTCAGATCTGACAATGGTGGTCAATACGTAACCACCAGATTCAAGAAGTTTTGCTATGAGCACGGGATCAGAATGGAGAGAACTGTGCCTGGTACGCCTCAACACAATGGTGTAGCTGAGCGTATGAATCGAACGTTGACTGAAAGAGCCAGAAGCTTGCGTGTGCAGTCAGGTCTACCAAAGCAGTTCTGGGTAGAAGCAGTCAACACAGCAACTTACTTGATCAACCGAATTCCATCGGTACCATTGGATCACAAGTTACCAGAAGAGGTATGGAGCGAAAAAGAAGTAAAACTCTCACATCTTAGAGTTTTCGGGTGTGTTGCATATGTGCACATCAGTGATCAAGGTAGAAACAAACTTGATCCAAAATCAAAGAAATGTACTTTTCTTGGTTATGGTGAAGATGAGTTTGGCTACCGCTTATGGGATGATGAAAACAAAAAGATGATCCGCAGCAGAGATGTCATCTTTAATGAAAGAGTAATGTACAAAGACCGACATAACACAAGTGCCAGCAACTCAGAAGCGAGTGGGCCAGTTTATGCAGAGGTGGAAGATATCCCAAACAGTCCTATAGCGAGGAGTCCTCAGTCAGAGGAGTCAAATGAAGAAAGTAAAGTGCAATCAGAACCTTCTACTCCAACTCCTGTATTGAGAAGGTCCTCTCGGCCCTATGTGCCTAACAGGAGATACATGGACTACATGCTGCTGAATGATGGAGGGGAGTCTGAAAATTACGTGGAAGCTTGTCAAACCACAGATGCTAGCAAGTGGGAGCTTGCCATGAAGGACGAGATGAAGTCCTTGATATCGAATCAGACATGGGAACTAGTCAAGTTACCTATGGGAAAGAAAGCACTTCACAACAAATGGGTGTATCGGGTGAAGGAAGACCATGATGGTTCCAAGAGATACAAAGCCCGACTGGTTGTCAAAGGATTTCAGCAGAAAGAAGGAGTTGACTATACTGAAATCTTTGCT